CCAGGATATGGATGCACTCTGGGAAGCTACCCTGCGTATTCCAGCTTCTTGGGACGTTCTCCCGACATGAAAGGTGCTCTATAAATGAGATTTTATTGTTTTTGTTGTATGGGGCACTATATAAATGCAAGTTGTTGTTGGATGTAACACACACATTTCCTGATCCGGCACTCCTGTACATGTGCTGACATGTATATCCTTTAGGTAACAGACTCTTTCCATGAAACACTACAGCCAATAATCGTACCAAATATATGTTGTCATTCAATGCTGTCAGGGAAGCGGTTCTTATTTCTACTTGCAACAGACAAATATTTTAATTCTGAGTTGCTGCAATCATTGGAATTTTTTTAAAAAACAGTGCATTGTGAAACAAATTGAAAAAAAAATGCATTTCATTGCTGTACAATATTATAATACAAACTTTGTATGATATCGCTTTAAAATATATGTGTATGTACATATTTCCTCTCAATTATTCTCCATTTCCACTCTCTCTAGAGGGACCTAGATATTGCATATTACAATCCCCATGCCCATGTTTTCTGCAGAGAAAAGTCAATGAGCATAATAATAATAATGATAATCCTTGAATTTGATATAGCGCTTTTCATGTCTTCTAGACGTCTCAAAATGCTTCACAGAATATACTGTAAAGTGAATTGACTGCAGTTTTGTGAGCAAAACGCAGCAGCCAATTGCGCACAGCAGTGTCTCACAAACAGTTTGTGTATTGAAGTGACCAAATTATTATTGTTCTTTTTTATCTTGAGGGATTATTATCAGGTGTGTGGAGTAAGGAAACTTGCCTAAGGTTTCGCCCTGCGGAATCGAACCCAGGTCTTTCACTTGTGAGGCAAGTGCTCTAACCAATGAGCTACAGGACTCCACATAAAATGACAAGCAGTAGTTATTCTGTTTGATTCAAATATTCTGAGTTCATTTTTTCTGTATTCCCTTGCCTACCCTTGACAAGGTATTTCCATTTCTGTGAAATAGCAAGTAACCCAAAATTAAGTTGTACATATCACGTCTCACAAAGAGTATAGCAGCAGAGTATAGCAACAACAAAAAAATTAATTTGAGCACCCCATTTACAGTAAATTGCTGAGATTTCAGTTTATTGCCATCCTCTGCCATTCACCCAAATTCCATAATCCAAAGACAATAATATCTTGCCGCAAACCTGAATTTTATTAGAACCGTAGAAATTTACAGCACAGAAGAAGGTGATTCCTTCAGCTCCATATTTTTTCACATGTAAAATTTCATCAGTAGCCACAGTGATCATTGCTGTTTTTAATATTCACAAGTTTCAACAGCAATCCTCCTCCATGATCAAGTGCACAATTCACAACAACAACAACAAGATTACATTTTTATAGCGCCTTTCACGTCAGAAGGACGTCCCAAGGCACTGGATAGCGTACAGCATTCAAGCCCGAAGAGCACAGTTTATGTAGCTTGATATCCTACCATAAACAATACCTTGCTTTTATGAAATACCTTTCATGTTAAAGAAAAAGGCTCAAAGTTCTTTGTTTTCAATCAGAATTAAAGTGAATATCATTCTATGGTTAAACATGGCAAATCTGTACCAAGTTAAATTGGGACATAAAGCAATTTGTTTGATTAATTGCGCATACTCTTTGGTTAAAGTTAAAATAATTTAAATGGACATGTACTTTTTTCAATTAAAAATGAGGCAGATCCATTGGACCACCTAAAAAATGTTAATAAAAGATTTGGGAACAAAGATTAAATTATTTCGGACTCACTGAATTTATGCTGCAGCATTACGAATTGTTGTGCTTCAGCTGAATAAGAAATAATTGAATATAGTGGAAACCTCGTGGCAAAGCAAGTTTGCAACTAGTGGGGCTCTGGCCAAATGTGCAGGAATAGGCTCCTTACAGCACTGGAATTGACATGAATATATCTCCAAGAACTCACTGCTTTTAATGGCAGGCAATGCAGTTTTAACTGTAAACTCTACTAGCAACCTAAACTCACACTCTGGGTCCCCAATCCTTGGCTCTTGGCAACCTGCATAGAATATTCTCCGGAATTAGGAAAGCAGGGTATATCCCTTCATTAGGAGTGCACATTCCATTCCAGATACAGGAACATTTCCATGTACAATTTATATTTATATAGCATCATTTGGTTTAGGAGGTTTGTTTCACAATGATGAACGGAAACCTAAGGTGGGGGTGGGAGCCAAGGTGGAGTGAGGAGGTGAAAGACTTACTTCCAAGTCCAGCTGTGTTGTACTGTACTTTTCATTGTGGTTTTCTGTGAAAATCTATTGAGAAGCAATGATTTGAAAGTGAATCGCACGAGTGATAGATGCAGATAATGTAAATTGTAAATTGTTTTAGATTGTGAGACCATATAAGAATACCTGGAAGGTAATTACTGGTAATTGATGGACCAGGACAGCAAACAATTCCAAACAAATGGGGACTAATTGGGCAGAACATGTCTGTTTCTACTATTAAACTTCAAACAAATTAAATGGATTAAATTAAATATTTGCAGGTCACACATTAAAACACCAAGATGGCCATTTAGTTTAATTGCATGATTGTTGAGGTAGCAAGGCCTACAACATTATATTACAGCCTTAAGACAATAACATTGACATAAAACTGTAGTGTAATTAAAACTTTGGATTTGATTGTAAAATGCTCAAAAAAAAATGTTTTCAGTTTCTTTTCTGATTGTGATACACATCGGGCTATTCCTGGTCAAGACCTTTCTCTTTGACCGTGCCTTCAGCTCCCTTCTCGACTCTCTACCCCCTCCTCGCTCCCTCCCTGACCATTTCCCCCCTGCTCGGGTCCTGACCCTACAGTACAGCGCCTTGGGACGTCCTCCCGACGTGAAAGGCGCTCTATAAATGGAATCTTGTTGTTGTTGTTGTTGTTGTTGATCAGCCATGTATCTGACACGTGCGTAAACTCATCACCATACTTGAGAGTATCCACACATGACTTTCACATATGTATCGGACTTATACCTGTATATGGAAATGGCCCTGTGTCTGGAATGGAATATGCATTCTCCGTGGAGGGATACATCCTGCTTACCTAATTTCCAGAGTATTATATTGTATAGGTTAGTGAGAGCCAAGACTTGGGGACCCCAGAGTGTGCATTTGGGTTACTGCTGGAGTTTACAGTTAAAACTGCATAACTTGCCATTGAAAGCAATGTCTGGCAAGTTTACCCTCATCCCACTAGGAGCACCCAAACAACAACAACAAAATACATTTGTGCAGTACCTTTCACATCGGGAGGTAGTCCCAAGGTGCTGGACAGTCAGTGTTTTGGACCCGAGGTCGGGGTCAGGATTGGGGAAGATGGAGGGTGATTGAAAGCACGGTCGAAGAGGAGGATCTTGAGATGGGTCTTGAAGGAGGCAAGGGAGAGGGCGAGGCAAAGGGACTGATGGAGTTACAGAGGGTTCCAATAGTGGGGCAGGCCATACACCAATGGTGGGGCAGGCGAGGCAGGGGACGTGAAGCAGACCGTCTCGACGTCTCAAAGCACTTCACAGAATAGATTGTAAAGTAAATTGACTGTACATTTGTGGGCGAAACGCGGCAGCCAATTGCGCACAGCAGTGTCCCACAAACAGTCGTGGATTGAAAATGACCAATTTATTATTGTTTTGTGGATGATTTGCAGCCTGTGGAGAGAGGAGTTGGGGAGGCTGACAAGCAAGAAGTTTGCATAGTAAAGCCTGGATGTTATGAATGCGTGTATGAGGGTTTCTGCGGTCTGCGGTGTGACACAGTGGCAGAGCCGGACGATGTTGAGGAGTTGGGGGAGGCAGGTCATGGCACTGATATGGGGTTGAAAGGATAGTTGAGGGTCAAACAAGATGTCAAGGTTCTGGACTGGCTTAGCAAGGTGGAGTGTGCAACCATGGATGGTGATGCTGATATTGCCTGAGTTGATGAGAGCCAATCAGGAGAGCCTCGGTCTTGTTGACGTTCAACTGAAGAAAGTTAGCTCTCATCTAAGACTTGATGTCTGGCAGACATTCTGTCAGAGCAGCAGTGGTCCTGGAGTCAAGGGTGGAGGTGAAGAGTTTACGGTTAAAACTGCATAGCTTGCCATTGAAAGCAGTGTCTGGGTGTCATCCGCATACATGCGGAAGTTGACCCCATGCCTGCGGATGATGTCACCAGAAGGGAGCGTATAGATATTGAAGAGGAGGGGATAAAGGACAGAGCCTTGAGGAATGCCGCATGAGATAATGCAGGGGTTATAGGAGATGCAGTTTGTGGAGATGAAGTGGGGGAGGTGTGAGAGGTACCAATCAAGGACAGAACCATGAAGGTTGAGGTGACAGGAGAGGCGGTGGATGAGGATAGAGTAGTCAACAGTGTCAAAGACAGCAGAGAGGTCAAGGAGGATGAGGAAGCAGAGGGAGCCCTGATCGCAGATGAACAGCATGTCATTTGTCACTTGACAAGAGGTGTTTCTGTGCTGTGGGCAGCACAGAAACCCGATTGGAGGGGTCCGAGAAGGGAGTGGTGCGAGAGGAAGGAGCGAAGCTGGGAAGCAACGGGTTAATATTATACAATGTGCATTTTACATTTATTAACCAGAGCTGGATGGGAAGAATCCCTGTTCCCAGTGACTGTCTGCCCCTTCAAGTCTTGCTGAAGAGCCAGGTGATCGGTTATCAGCAGTGACTAGACTACTGCGATCCCACCTGGCTCAGGAACCAGAGCACTGAGACTGCCATAAAGGGTCGACTCGATTCCAACATTCTGTTGCCAAGCATTTCGCCTTGGACCCAAGGAGACCCCGCTTATCTCTCTCTTATGAAGGAATGTCTTGTCTGTTTCAGTGTACATGTGTTTAATGTCAGAAAATCAGGTAATTTATCAACTTTCCATATTTATCTCAGCTCTCAGCAGGTTCTTCATAATTGCTATCAATCGAGTAAATGCTGGAACTGAAGTGCTGTCGTGTTATTTTCAGGCTAATTGGAACCTTCCGTATGGTGTTGCAAAAGGTAGTGGAGGAAGGACAGTTGGAGTTGGAAGACACATTAATAGACGACAACAATACACCAATCAGGGTAAGATTTATTTTTTTCTATCTCTCTCTCTCTGTAACCCTCTGCATTCATAGCCTCTTTTGAACTGTCATTAGAGAAAAAATAAAAGTAATATTGGGCCCAGCTCACTGGAGTTGTTGAAGAAGAAATTAATGAATATAGTAGGAACCTCATTGCAAAAACAAGTTTGCAGCTACTGGGGCTAAAGCCAAATGAGCAGGAATAGACTCCTTATACACTGGGATTGACTTTAATAAAACTCCAAGACACTTAGGATCAACATCATCACAGACCTCATTCAACTCGCTCTACTTCCTTTTGCTCAGATATTTCCTGCAACCAATAACAATGAAGCAAAACACATATGCCCACATATTCACTTTTGAAACGAGAGCTGCCTTTCCTCCACAGATAACTTGCCACCACCACAGAAATCATTGGTGTATCTGTTCATCTCAATGTGCATCTATCTCTAATATATCTAATATCCCTACAGTTTATATTTATCCAGTTATATCCAAAGGTGTTTATCCATGCAATATCAACTGATTTTAGTAAGTTATTTCTACTACTCCTAACCTTTCATCCTAGTTTACGCTATTTCATCTAAAATCTTTTAGTTTTCTTCCCATGGTCTAAGACAAATGGATTTTCATGATTTAAATTCCTGGATCGTGGCCCCTTCTATCTTATTTTCTAATGACAAGTTCAGCTCTGTGAACGTGAAGCTCTCCAAGTAACTTCGAGCCCTGATTCCTGGGATATATTTTGTCACTCCAATCTGAACCCTCTCCCAACTTTTCACTTTTTTTGAAGCTTTATGTTCAAAATATTATTCCAGATTCTGAAAGGGGCCCACCAGTGATCTATGCTTAATACTCAATATTCCTTCTTTCCCACAAATCTGCTGTTGAAACCAGGGTGTCCTTCCTTCCGCAGATAGGGTGCTTGACTTCTTTAGCACAGAAATCATAAATCACTGTTACATATTTCTGCTAGTGAACAAAATGGCTTATCAGCACACTGCCCGAAAAGTATATTTTGTAGAAAATCTCAGAGGAGAAAGAGTTGAATTAAGAATAAGCTCCACTCAGTACTGGCAGTACTTTGCTTGCAGTATTTTTGTACTGCGACTAGCCAGATGTACTAAATTGGGTCTTCGATGTATAAATTCAAAGTTCTGATATGGTTCAGTTTTGAAGATATTTTAATCCTACTTTTTCCAAATCTCTCTACCAGGGAACTCCAGTGCAATATACTGGGGAAGTATTGCATTGTTGGAGGTGCTGTTCTTCAGATGAGTCAGTTCTGAAATATTTAACACTCCATTATCCATCCTCACTTTTATTCGCCATGTGTCAAGGTTTTGAAGGAAAACTCCACTTGCATATTCAGATGTTCACTATGATTACTTTGCCTGAGGTTTCCCCCAGACAAGCAGTTATTTTTAGAGTGTCCTAGTCTATGGCAAAACCTGGGCAGCTTTCTTAACTATTTTTTAAAGTGAGTAAGGATTGGAAGGCCTTTAATTCTACTCCAGGGATTGATTTAATACTTACCCAGATACCGTCTTAAGATTTAGTTTGAAAAATTATTATTCAGAGTTACGACACTGTTCTCCTAATGTTTAGAATGTAAGATGGCAGTAGTGCAATGCAGAACTGGCTGAAGGGAGAAAACATTCCCCAGAGTTGATAAACCCCAAATCATATATGAAATAATGGATTAAAAACTAATGCACATTACTCGATGGGCCGAATGGCCTCCTTCTGTGCCATAACATTCTATGATTCTATGATTCTATGATTCTATTACCATTGGTACACTCTACATAAATGATATGGAAGCTGATTACATCAAGTAATATAAATTGAGTTGATGTCACAACTGTATCAATATATGAATTGTCCAAGATAAATAGATGAATTTCAAAGAACCCAGGACAGATTAAACAGATGGGCTAGGCAATTGCCCGTAACTTTTAATATAGGTAAATAGTTAATGTGCAACATAGGAACAGGGAAAATGTACATGGTAGATAGATGGATCCCTGTTGCCAAAGGAGAGAATTGCTCTTGACAGTTTACTAAGTTAACTAATGTGAAATTGTGATTGACAATGCTAATTAAGTGCTAGATTTTGATCATTAGTCATTAAGTGATTTTCAATCATATGTCATAACAGGTTATTGTAACCACTCAAGAACAGGCCAAATTTACGTGTGCAGGTTAGGCCACTCAACTCTTAAACAAAACTGACCACTTGGAAAAATTTCAAAAAGGCTAAAAAAAACTTCTAGAAAGGTTTAAGACAATTATGAAAAGAGAAATGCTAATCTATTCAGCCCAAAATCACAAGCCCATGTGTGATCTAACATGATTGTGTTAATGAAGACCTCTCCACAAATGAACATTTTATATTCAGCTCACAAACAATTCTACATAGTGTGCCATTTTAGTGCACAAAAAACATCTCTGTAATACACAATTAGGTCAGGTTCCAAAACACAGTGTAAGCATATTCATTTACACTACTAATCATCTGTGTAATAAGCAGTTCAATTCCCCAAATCCTTAGAATAATAAAATATAGATATGTGCAATGGACAGCCCATCAACTATTTTGTGTATTATTTTATTCTCTATGAAAAATCCCTCTCTAATAATTCTGATAATAATTTATAATAATATTAATAATCTTTACATTTGATGTCGCACCTTAACATGTCAGTAAGACGTCTCAAAGAGCTTCACAGAATATACTGCATATAAAATATTCAATGTGAATGTTCAGGGACCACTTCTTGACTGCCTTGCGGGACACTTCTCTATCCCACGGGCCATAAATTGGCCAACACTGGTTTAATGTCTGGCAATACAGTATTCCCCCAGCACTGCATTGGACTATGAGCTCAAAGTTCCTCATGAGACAACTCTTTGGCTCAGTGGCAAGAGTGCTACTAACTAAGCCAAGCTGACACCTAATGAATAATTTATCCTGTGCAACAGCAAAGTATAACTTTGAAATAGAACAGAAAGAAAATAAAGCATGGTTTAGTGTAATAGAAAGATGGTACATTGTAATGTAGACTTTATGACTGTGTTATATAATAATCAGATTAAAATGGTCCATGTGTTCTGTACAATATATTAATTTATTAAGATGTTTGGCTAACACAAGGTTAAACTCAGCCTTCTGAGAATACTGTGGAATCAATCCTCACTATTAAGCCAGCAGCAAACGTTACCATAGCAACAAAAGCACAGCAGGAGACAGATATTAAAACACATAGTGTTGATAATTTAGAAATAAATTAACAACTCTATGTACTGCTGGAAATCTGTTTACAATATTTCACTTCACTGGGCTTCATACAAGTGAAGCCTATTCAACAGAGGTAAAAACACAATAATAATAATTCGGAATCACTGCCTTTTGCAGGTTGGTGGGATACTATTGATGGAGAAGATCTATTATCAATTGACAACCGCAACCACAAATTACATTTGTATAGCGCCTTTCAACTCGGGAGACGTCACAAGGCATTGGACAGTCAGGGATTTGGACCCGAGCTGGAGGTTAGGATCAGGAGAGGTGGAGAGCATGGAGGGTAGGGGTAGCGATAGGAGGGTGGCTGATGGTGCAGCCAAAGAGACGGATCTTGAGAAAGGCCCTGAAGGGATAGTGGGGGAGATGATGAGGCGAATGGACTGTGGGATGGAGATCCAAAGGTTGGGAAAGTCAGGCTGAAGGCCCAACCACCGATGCTGGGTCAGGCGGGTGACATGGAGCAGGCCATAGCCCACTGAGCGGAGGGAGTGGACAGGTTTATATGGTGTTAGCAGGTCACAGAGGTAAGGAGGAGCATGGCCATGGAGGGCTTTGAAGTTGAGAATAAGGATTTTTAAATCTATCTTTGGGAGGAAGGGGAGCCAATGGAGCCGGGAGAGAATGGGGGTAATAAGGTCACAAGGCTGCAGAGTTCTGAATGATAATAATAATAATCGTTGCATTTGATATAGTGCTTTTCACGTCTTCCAGACATTTCAAAGCGCTTCACAGAATACACTGTAAAGTGAATTGACTGTATATTTGTTGGCGAAACACGGCAGCCAATTGCACACAGCAGTGTCCAACAAACAATCTTGGATTGAGTGACCAAATTATTTTTTTTCTTGAGGGATTATTATCCCCGGAAAAGCGATCTTCCAATCAAGTAGCAACCGGGTTCCTACTTAAACAGAGGCGTGTGGAATAAGGAAACTTGCCCAACGTTTCGCCCTGCCGGGAATAGAACCCAGGTCTATTTCTTGTGAGGCAAGTGCTCTAACCACTGAGCTACAGGACGCCACATGATTATGCACTTGTGGAGGTAACAGTTGGGAAGCAGGGAGTTAGCTATTATTTTAGTTAAAAATTAACTAAACTAGTTACGACAGACATCATAACTTGTTTAGTTCATTCTTACATTCACAGCTAATCAAACTCCTGTCCCCATAACCCAAATAGCTCTGTGTTTTGCAGCACCTTTTAAAAACAAATGTATGGGACTACATTTTGTAACAGAGCAAAACAACCAGTTTGTGCATATCATTGTCCCACAAACAACCATGAAATGAATGACTAATTTTATCTGAGGGATTGTTGGAAGTGCGCTTCTCTTTTCGAATAGTGTCATGGGATTTTTCATGGCCACCTGAACAGGCAGACAGGAATTCTGTTTAACGTCTCATCCAGAGTACAGAACCTCTGACAATGCAATGCTCCTCCAGCACTGCATTGGACAATCAGCCTAGACGATGAGCTCAAAGTCCTGATTTGATGTGGGGCTTGAACTCACGACCTTCTGACTCAGAGGAGAGAATGATACCAGTTCAGCCAAGCTGACACCTAAAGTAGCTTCATCAGTGTAATATTGAAGAAACTTTATTACTCTCATATTCACTACAAGTTTCGCCCACAAAATATAGTCAATTCACTTTACAGTACATTCTGTGAAGCGCTTTGAGACGTCTAGAAGACTTGATAAGGTGCTATATCAAATGCAAAGATTATTATAAGTAACTAAAGTAAATTATAAAACATCTTAACTTCTTCTCATTTTCTCAAGGTGCCTGGCTTGTGAATGATAAGATTAATTGTCAAGTTCAAGACTTGGACGATCTTGTAATTTCAACTCACTGCTTTAGGATTGTTACCAGCTAATCTATGACAGACGATACATCTTTGGAAAAGTAATTTTTTTTTGACAACTCTGCCTATGTCTAAGGAAGGAAAGCAGATTGATCCATGTCATTCAGCTTTGATTGTATCTGCTGATACACATCCTCAGGGTCAGAAACCACTGCAAGTGCTGTAACTCAAGAGCTGGGTGATGGTTATCTTGTAGGTTAAATTAAATCAGGAAGACAACATTATTGAGGTCCTGTCACCTCTTTGTACCTCAGTTTAAGCTTAAAACTTAGGTCGCATAACCAAGATGAACATGTCTGTGCAGAATATTAGACAGTAATACTTGTGCCCTCAAACCGTGAATTCACCTTTCAACCATTATTCCTGTATTTGTCTGAAATGTATTTCATGACTTCCCAAACATGATTGCAAACACATCAAGAAAATTATGGACAATATCAATCTATGTGTATCCTTTTGTTGGTATGTTCTCAGTTATGTGTACAAATAAATGTTGATCGAATCTTATAACATATTATTGTTCTTCATTCTATTTGCTACTCTATTGCTTCCATTACTTAGCTGGATAGGGGGGTCCTAGGCAATACTCCTAATGGCAAGCAATGCGATTCTAGCTGGTAAAATCCAGCAGTGCCTCAACATCTTCTCTTGGGGGCACAAGCTCTTGCCAACCTGTCCTTAATACTCTCTGGAATTAAACATGAAGCATCCACCTAGGGAAAGACTGTACATTCCATCCAGACACAGGGACATTTCTATGCGTAGGTGGCATGCATATGTGGAATTATCAGTCTGGTTTGTAACTTTCAGGAGGGTGATTGGTTTTTGCATGTGTCAGACACCCGGCTGACCTCCAAAACTTGTTTCGCTCACTTCCTGCTGATTTTTTCAATCTTACTTCCATTTCTCTCTAATGCTCGTCTCTCTCTTTTGTGTTTTTTTGTTGCTGCCATTCTGTATTCCTAATTGCTTTTTCTGAAATTCTGCTAATTTCCCCTTGATATTTATTCATTTGGTCAGTTATCCTCTAGTTTATCTCTCTATTCCTCTCTGTCTCACACACATACAGACACACAGACACTCTACTGTTTCTTTGACTTCTGTTCCTCTGCTTTGTTTGCCTTCTCTATTTTTTATTTCTTGAGGCTATTCCCCACTTTACTTTCTCTCTCTCTCTCTCTCTCTCTCTCTTTTGTCTATTTACCGCAGACACCGCTTTATTTCATTTATATTTGGCCCTTCATTGACCTTTAACCAGGCCGGAGTTCTGCTGGGGCAGTGACTATCGTAGATATGTGATCTATCATCATATTGTCTTCAATTCCAATAGCTGCCAACTTGAAACCTTTTCATTTCCTGAGGTGTGGAATGATATCATTAGATTGAAGGACTTGTGCAGCGTGCATTGGATTTTCTACAGAGCACACATAAAGTATAAATACAAGCAGTATTTTTGCCTTGGATTGGAAAGTTATGGGTTACAACTTCATGCCAGATGTTGCTCTATCCTGCTTGGGGGTGCAGAGAGTAGGGGAGCTAAATGGGGCTCTTTGAGATTAAATTGGCTCCAAAATGACTTGTCTGGCAATGTGATATCAGAATCAAGTCTCTAGGGTGGTGTTGGGAGTCCACATACTGAGCATGACGGCTCTGCAGTACTGTAAAATATTGCCTCCAATCTAGTTCATCAGCAGAACTTGACAAGCAGACGAGACACAAGACATTGGGATTCTTCCCACTTTGCTCCTGTTAATCCCATGTGGCAAATAAGGATTAAATTGGCCCTATCTGGACAATCAGCAGGATATATGTCAGTCCATGTGTCAGTCAGCATTTCCAATGCAAGCTGCCCAGTTTTAGCTGATTTTGCTGTTGTTGCTGTTTGGTTAGAAATTTTAAGCAAGGGGCCAGATTTTGAATCTCAACCAGTGGGTGAAGAACACTCTAATCTTCTACCTGGGCTGTGTGTAGCAGGCAATACTTTTGATTTTTACTGCTAATTGATTTCTTTCTTTTTTTCCTTTTCTTCCAGACCAGTGTCTCTATTGAGATAAAATACCAGGCAATAGATGGGACTGTCGGACCCTGGAATGAAAATGAGTTCTTGGAGAACCCAAACCAGAATGAAGCCACCTTTCAGTTTGAGACAGACAGCTTGCTGTCCGGTAGCGGTAACAGTCAGGGATCAGGAGCCTCCCCAGGCAGATCTCGGCACAGTCTCCGAGGAGATAAAAGGAAGTGAGTAACTCATTTATCTCTTCATGTGATAGAGAAGGCAAACCTTGAACAATACATACAGACACTTCGAAAGGGCGCAGCTTCAGGGTTGGAACAGACATCAGCAAGTCTTTTTTTGTGTAGAAGATAATCAATTGGTGGAATAAGTTTCCGGGAAAGGTGACTGAGTTTAGGACAATGGAAGAAGTCAATTGATACTGCAATGGGAGGATAGCTGGGTTGGTATTCTGAAAGAATGAGATAACATTCTCATTGAACTGAACTTAATCTGGATTTCTCTTTTGATCTTGCGATGACATTATGTTCAGCAAACAAACAAGGGCTTTAGTTTTCAAATTCAACAATTTGGCGTGTTTGCTCGCACACAGTTGTAAAGTAAAATCCATTAATAATTGTGGAAATAAAATGTTCCTAGCATTTGTTCAATAAGTACACATTAGACCCCTTATATAATCATGATCATTTAAATTATTAACTCCTTTTGGAGAACAAATTCATTGACCACTGCCTTACAAAAGCATCAGTGTTATAACAAACTCTGTTCTCCTGGAATGACTATCTCATTTTGATAAAGGTATTGAACTTCCCAATAGCCCATTAAGCTGACTGTTATACAATCTTGCGCAGAGTTGAAGTCAGTCCTTGTGTGTTTCACTTTTATTGTTAGAACTAAGCTAAACTTCCTTCATACACAATTTCCTCGATAGTATTGTACACACCCAGGTGAAAGAGGAACTTACAATGCTATGGATTTTTCCCAGAGGTAACTTTTGCAATTGACACCTGTTTTTCTTCTTTTGTTCTTTTGTTTGTAGGTCAATGGGGAAGTTTAGAACACTTTTGATAACACAGAGGGTTTTAGAATAAGAAATGCACAAGTAGTTGTTGAAGCCGAGTCAGTAGTAGAACTTAACAGGAAATTGGATAACTGAGGAAAAATATTAAAAGTTACAGGGAAAGAGCAAAAGAATGGAATTCTAGCCTTAGGAGTTTTAGTGGAGGGAACTAGCACCAGAACAGAAGACATCATGGGCTGAATGTTTGACTTAATTATGTGCTGTAAACTTTCTATGATTTTATTGCAGGCCAAGCATGTTGACATAAATGTGCATGTATATATATTTTTCCTTCAACTAGGAAATAACTTAAGTAAGCAATTGTGCCTTCAGTATTTTGCTTATACATTTTACATTTTAGCAGGAAAATTACACAGTTGGAGAGAGCTTATTGTGATTTTCTCAATAATTGAGATTTTTTAAATTCTGATATAATACAAAATTACATTTGTGTAGCGCCTTTCACGTCAGGAGGATAATATTAATATTGTTAAAAGTAAAGCAAAAAGTGATTGTAACAAGATTGTGGTGTTAGTTATTGGAGCATTTGAAAACTAATTTACTTAAGGGAACACTGCCCTTACTTTAATGGTCTTTAATGGCTTCTCTCGATAGTTAATCTACAGTTGCTTTCCGAGAATATTGATTGATTCTGATTGATTGATTCCGATTGATCTCAGGGCCGAAGCTGACGTGAGCTATACTAATAATGGCTCTGTTTAATGTCTCATCCAAAGTACAGCACTGGATTGGAATGTCAGACAAAACTATGAACTCAAAGTCCTGACGTGAGACCTGGGGCTTGAATCTGCAACCTCTGATTCAGAAACAATAAGGCTACCTACCGGCTGAGCCATCCTGATACCTAAGTGTTACAGTATTGAGGAGTGGGTGATCATAGTTGTCAATGCTCATTGACAAATATGATCACCCACCTCTCAATATTGTTCAAAAGCGAAGGTAAATTGAACGTAAAGAAAATGAGTCACAACGGCCAGATGAATTTCTGAAGATAGGTCTCACCCTTTAGATAGTGTAGAGTGTGTATTGTTTTGTTCTATGTTTTTTCTCTCTACTTCAAATTTAATAGTGTAAATGAGTTTCATTACCAGTCACCCAGACAAGTAAAACACTGATGAAAGGTAAAATCCGTGTTCTCTTCATGTTGTGAAATTGGTTGATTTGTTATATGAAAGCTCCATGATTTTGTGACACACTGAATGAACACAAGGTGGCAGTGGTCCCTCTCCTTCCTCCCTTTCCCCTTCTCCCCGCCTCGCCCCCGCCCAAACCCCCCCTCCCCCCTCCACCCAAACACACACACACGAGCACTGGCTCCAACTTTGATTGCCATCATTTTAAGCAATGGCATTGTTTTATCTTTCTGAGAGTGATATGAAAACAATCATTATGTAGATAAACACTTCACAATGCTTCACATGCCGGAACTGAAAAGTCCTGAAGCATTTGGGGAGGGGGGGTTAAATTTAGTCTTTCCAGTTATTTTTCTACTTTCTCTCCGCATTGCCATATGCCTTTCTGCTGATGCCCTCCAGTGCTGATGCCCTCCAGTACCCTGGCCAAATGGCCATTGTTCATGTGTGAGCCTTGGCAGTAAGTGTCACAGACAACAACAACAACAACAAGATTCCATTTATAGAGCGCCTTTCACGTCGGGAGGACGTCCCAAGGCGCAGACCACTCAACTATAGAGCTTGAACTCTCCCCACACAATTGCACAAAACCAGAAGGTGCTGAGGAGCAACCAAGAGCAACAACCCTGCCTGGTTTTCCCTTCCCCAATTCTGTGAAAGCTGGGACCTGAATGAACACAATGGTGTAAATGTTCTCACTCAAGTGTCCCATTTTACCAGGGTGTTGAACGAAGCCCAGTTGTTCACTTTGTGTAGGAAGACTTACAGTATTTCAGTCTTTCTTCTTCTCAACCTCTGATACTTCACCCCAGTGATCATTATTTTGTGTGGTCCTTGACACTGAGTGTTGGTAGGTCATTCAACTACTGGAGGCATGAGAACTGAGCCTAATTCGGTTCTCACCCAACTCTTGCTCTGCACGTGGGCCATTGCAAGCTAAAAAGTATCAAGTTTATAAATATTGTAATTAGAAAGAAAATGTAATATGTTTGATTCAACCAAAATAAATTAGACTTGTGGAGTTCAAGAGACCCACCCCACTGTTAGGGTGATTAATTGATGCACGTGGGTGGTGTGTTACTTTGTGGTAAATTTGGCATGTTTTGACAATGTGGCATATGACGGGATTTTCCATTATCCATCACCTTGAATTCAATGTTCTTTTTACTCTAGGATAATGCTGTTGTCAAAATCAGGAATTTACACTTTCATGAAAGAATTAACCATTGTAGGAATAGTCTGTCTAATAGTTTGAAATCCTGCCGCATAAATCAATGGAGAAATCAGTCTGACACTCGCATCAACAGTTTAAAAACAGCAGATCCAGGTTAAACAGGATTGATTGTAGACTGTGTATACCAGTGGTTAATCAATATAATCTCTGAAGTGCTTTGAGATGCCTCAACGATGTGATAGACGCTATATCAAATGTAAGGATTATTATATTATATTGTCATAAATTTTGTGCATTTACTGCCTCCTCACTGGTTTGTTACTCACCAATTTTAATATCTCCATCACAAATCTCAGCTGTGAAGATGATCAGGAGGAAGAGGACAAAACTGCTCTGAGGTGAACAGAGTGTTCTGATCACGGTCAATTGTCAATACACATCAGCAAGTGAAGGATTATTTAAAATAATCCTGGTAAACTTCCAGCACACCAACAGATGGGATACTTTGGTGGCTACATTGATGTGTATTTTATTGATTTATGCTACACATACTGTTTAAACGTTTTAGAAGAAAAATGTGGCTCAGAAAGACCCTATTCTTTAAGAGAACATAATCGATGTTCATTAAGGAATCTTAACACATGATCAGAGCTATCATCAGTACAGTTGTGTGGTATAAAAGGAGTTCCATTATTAGTGAATCTGTGTGGTTTTTTGCATGTTCCTTGTTTGAAGTGTGTTTGGATTTAATCTGAGCTAATTTAATGTATGTGGGACATTAGTAGCTGAATTATTATGGGAAGTGTTTGGATGATGGATTGTTCAACGTACTAATCTTCAGGAATCAGTTCAGGAATCTCACTAGTGAAATTATTAAGGACTGTCACAGAGTTTGTCACAGGGTTCTAGTGCTTGGATAAGGCAGAGGTTAATGTGTGTGGAGGATTCTTAACTCAACGGATGGATGTAGAATGTGTCCCAGTGATGCAGCATCTTAAGATTCCTAATGCACCAATGGTGGTAGGATGTAGATTTGTGCCCACAATCCCTCACGCACCAAGTTCCAAGTTTTGGAGTTTTATTGGCAGAGACCTTGAAGTAAGATGTTCCACACCTTGTTGACAATGAGTACCACACAATGGACGAAGACCAAAAAAGTGGAGAAAAACAAAAGACAAGATCAGTACATTGAACAATCCATCATCCAAACACTTCCCATAATAATTCAGCTGAGATTGGGAGGCAGAGTCTCAGATGCAGATACATCACCTACTGATGGGACGTCCTCCTGACGTGAAAGGCGCTTTATAAATGGAATCTTGTTGTTGTTGTTGTTGATCGATTGTACCACATTATTGCCCTTGATGGTTTTACTCAGTCTCCATTGTGTTTCTCAGTTGTTAACTGTGTTTTGCTGCTGGTATCCATTTCCATTTGTAGGTTTATTTCTTTGCGTGAAGAAAAGTTCACTGAAGTTGCTAACACCAGCTGATAAAATCTCAATGAACTGAAGACTTTCCAGTATGCTATAATTTCTATGGCACTTTGGTGGGGCAGAGCAGTCAGAATGTATCTCTTCAGCTGGCTGTGTAAATGTGCTTTAGGTTGACACTAGAGGGTTGAAATTCCCATTGATATTAAACTAAGCACCCTTCTTTATGCTTGTAAAATAGAAGAAAATGGATACTGTTAAATTGGCATGAATCTAAGTCATTATTTTCTGGCCTTTTAAAAGCAATCAATGCAAATGTAGCAGCATTTCGTTTCCTCACAGCGAGATTTACATTAGTGTGGAGGTTATTCAGCAAGATTTCAGAGAAGCCCACTCGCTGTTTA